CGCAAGCTGAGGTCCTGTAAATACCTCTAGCATGGCAAGTCACAAGCGTAGATCACCCGATGAGGAACTGATGGCATGTATCCACAATTTCAGTAGAACTGCTACATTTCCCTTAGGCCCCGTTTTGAAAAACTCAAACAGGCCCAGATCCAAAGCAGCCAGTTCTTTCGTTATCTAAAGCCTATACTCCTCTAGTTTCCATTCCATTTCGATTTGCGTTTCCATTTGGTTCTCCGTTCTTGTACTATCCCTAAATCATCCTAAATCCTGGAGAACTCCTTACCTAACCTTATCTAACCTCTCCTATACCCTACATCCTATACCCTTTTTGCGAAGGTCTTGTGGAGAGGCCAGAAGAACCGCCCTCCTTCAAGGCTGAGGCCAGAGCTTAGTTCAGGATTCCTATAGAGTTATATGAGCTATAGTCTAAACTCCTTAAAGGGGGTTATATAGGGGATTATATACGGGACTACTATAGGGGTTAGTAAGGGGGATACTAGGAGTTTAGGCAATGGCTCATATGGTAAGTTTAGACTTATGTTTAGGGTTTAGGGTTTATATTTGGATTATATTGGGGTTATCTTGGGATTGTATTGGGATAATGGAAGATACAATGGAAATTGCTATTTAGGATTTAGGTTTAAGTTGTATGAGACAGAGTCCCAACTCCTTAACGGGGGTTATATATACCCCGCATGGAGAATCAAATGGAAAAGATAACGGAAAATTGAATGGCAACTCGGAATATAGGGTATAGGGATCAGGGTTTTAATGTGAGCTATAGTCTGAACTCCTTAAAGGGGGTTATATAGGGGAGTATTATAAGGGTTATTAAGGGAGATAGTAGGAGTTTTTTTACTACGGCTCATATTGATTCAGGAGTTGGGGTGCGGTTTGATGCTCAGGTTCTGGGGCTTCCTTGGGGGCTTTGCCTGGATGCACGGCAGGTTGGATCGAGTTTGAGAGACTTAGCAGGAAGCCTTTGAAGCTGTTAGTTGTTTCAACTCAAGTCGCGAGAAGAGTATGAACGATGCATCATCTGGGTTGCTGTTAAGGAACTTAAATTAAGTTACCATAATGGGTATATATAGAGTAAATAATAGGGTTTCCCCAACATAGCAACCCTAAACCCTAAACCCCAAACCCTAAACCCTAAATAATAGGGTTTCCCCAATATAGCAACCCAGAAGAGACAAGAAGTACTTTGACTGTTGCATGCAGACGTGTTTTCCTTAGTCTGCCTTGACCGGCCTCTGCTGTGTAGATGGGGACGTCTGTGTTCCTTTAACTCTGGTACCTTTTGTGTTCACGCGGGCGGAAGTTGCGAAGTGCTTCAATCAGGTGCCTCAAGACAGCCACAGCCTCAGCATATTGAGCTTTCACCTGCACCCAGATTATTGGCAACAAATGTGCTCAGCTTGCCATAGGCCACGGAAGCATACCATTAGCCATGTCTTCCGCCAGAATCACCTGCAGCGTTTAGGAGGACCCCCCCACCCTGTAATAGTGACTGTAAGGAATAATAGGGAGTATATTAGGGTCCTATTATATTCCTATGATACTACTATTACAGGGTGGGGGGTCCTCCTAATGTAGCGTTCTGTATGCTGAGAGCACCACCTGCTCAGGAGCACAAGAAGCTCTGAAGGCCTTGGCAAGTTACGGAGGTTGAGTGGCAAAGTAATGTACGTGACGAAAGAATTGCCACTGGTATGGTCCTAGGTTCTACGCATAATTCTTGCATAATTTTGGTATGGGGAACCTGGAATAGACTTGAAAGGGATATTGGTAATGATTTACGCCCCTATAGTAGGGTGAATTCTATGCACATTGCTTTGCACTCAGGCGGTGAACCTGTTATCACTGCTGTAGATTGCTGGGCATCTTTGTACATCCCTGCCGAATTGCTATACTGATAAACTTCCCATTTCATTCTGGTAGTGCATGTATCATATGAGCTACTACTTGCAGAGGAACATGCTTGTTGTCATGGCGCGTATAGAATGCACTTTTGATACATGGGAGGAGCTATTGTTGCGGGCTAAGACTGTACAAAGCCACGGGAAGAATATTTGTCAGGCCATAAGGTTGGATTGTGGATTGCAAGCACGACTGGGATTGGTGAACGTCATACGTATGATACCAGTAGAAGACTGTGGCTGGAAATGATGACGTGACCTGTTACGCCACTAACAGTGACTGCTGACAGGATGCAGTTGCCGAGGGACAATGGTTCTCCGAGTCATTTGAAGATCTGCTTCCAGAGCGCTACAGGCAGGGCGGGAGGCACTCAGCATTGGCACCTGTGGCGGCTTACAAGCCTCCCAATATCCCAGACCCCCTAAAGGATCCAGAAAATGGAACCCCCTACTAATCCCCTAACTTCCCCAATGTACTGATGGGTTCATATTGGGGGTGTTCCATTTTGTGGATCCTTTAGGGGGTCTGGGATGGCATATCAGGGATTTTACCACAATTGTCAAGGATCAAATGGAAAACCACATGGAACATGCAATGGAAACTGAGATTAGCTAGGACTCATATACTTCATTCCTACTAACAACCAGTAAAGTTGAGAAGCAATCCTGCCAGGGATAGCTTGCAAAGTCCTCACCAAGATCTCATCGAACTTGTGATGAGCCTTGCGCTCAGGGCTGCTTTGGTTTAGGGCTTAGGGTTGAGGGTGACGGGTTTAGAGTTTGAGGGTTTGGGGTTAAGGGGTTCAGGGCTTAGGGTTGCCTAGAATCAAATCGAAATGAATATGGAATATTACATGGAAACCGCAACATATAGAGATTATATGGGGATGTATAGGGATCTTATCCCAACATCAAATGGAAACACTGCCATGAGGGTTTAGGATTTAGGGTCGGTCATGTGTGAATATAGGTTGATAAGTTAGATCCCTACAGTCATCCCAATCTGATCTTCAACAGCTTACCTTGTAACGAGGCCCTAAACCCTCAACCGGCATATCCTCATCTCTGGGAGGTTTTCAAATTGCAAAATCGTCCCCGCATAGTCTTTGATGGAAGCCCTTTAATCCCCTTATCATCCCCTTATATCCCTGGGCCCCTGAACCCTAAGCCTTCAAACTTCCACATGGACACAGCCTGAGGCTCGCACACCTGGTGGCGGCCTGGTTTGCGTGCATTGGTGCCTCGGCCAGAGTTGTTGCAACTTCTTAAAAGCTTCCCAATATACCATATTAGGGATTATAGGGGTAATGGAAAAGAAAACGGAAACTACTATTTAGGGTGTAGGGTTTCACAAGCTGGGGGTATAGTACCCCCCCAAAAAAGCCATATTAGGGAATTATATAGGGATAATGGAACAGATAATGGAAACCACTATCTGGGTTTAATTAGCGTTTAGGGACATAACCTTGAAAGCATCCAAACATGAGCTATAGTCTAAACTCCTTGAAGGGAGGGCGATACAGTGGATGACATAGGGGAGTGTTATGGGGCTTGCCAAGGGGCATGCTAGGAGGTTGGACTATAGTCTATAGTTCATATTCGGGATATTACCACAGTAATGGAGAATCAAACGGAATAGAACATGGACATTGACATGGAAACTGGGATTACATAGGGACATAGGAGCTTGTATAAGTATACCCCCAGTTGATGCTGGCTTTGAGGCTTAGGATGACGCAGGACTTGTGAAACTCAGGATTTGCTATTGGGATTTGTTTTTCTGGGGCCGTATTTTTGAGGCTGGATCGCTACGGGGGGTCTACGTGGGGACCCCAAGTTCCACAGATACTTACCCTCAGGGTCCAAGTACCTAATGATCCAAAACTTGCTCAAGAGCTGTTCTATAATTACTACTACTCAAAACCCAAGTACCATTTGGTACTTGGACCCTGGAGGTTAAGAGTGTGGCATGCATTTAATTGTCTGGCATGTATTGTACCACTGCACCAATTTGTGTTGTCAGTGTCGTTGTCGTTGTACAGTTTGTTGCCCGTGTGGGTGCTGCTCATAGAAATGCTGTGGCGTTTGCTGCTGCCTCCTGCTGCTAGGGCCAGTATGGTTGTGGAACATTGCGGTGCCTAGGATTTCCAGGTGCTACTAGCCTCACCGTTGTGATGATTCTAGTCGTCGGTTTCCTTTTGGAGTAGTAGTGCGGTCTGAACTGTGTGGGGCATTCGGATCAGGGGAGTGGTCAGTGGATGGCAGTAACTGATTCTTTGAAACAGTTTGGGAAGTCACGGGCAATATTCTTACTGAACTTGACAGCCCTGGGAGGACACTACCTTGTGTAAAGCTGAAGTCCATCCCGTCCCAGAGTCGAACAGTCGTATGCTTGACTTATCTAAACCCTGGACCCTGAACTACTGAAAAAGAACCTTCACTAGCAGCGGAGAGGAGTTACAGTGCTAGGAGCCTCCCGCAAGCCCAACTAAGAACGAGCAGCCATACAAAGACTACGGAGACCTTGACTTCTGGGTTTCCATAGATTTGGGGGGGGGCTTCCAAAACAGACCCCGAAATGCTACTTTCCTTATCCGATGGACTTCCGCCAAAACGGGGCCTTAATTTTGAAAACCACCAATTCGTTGCATTGTGTTTTTCATTTGAGGGGCTAAGGTACCAGTGCCGGACTAGTGCAGGTGAAGAATTTGGCCGATCTCAATCAGGCACCTTTTCACGGAGCTTGTAAGGTTAGGGTCTTATGTGGGTAGGTGCTGAAGTAGCGTTGGTGCTCTTTGCTTTGAAGTTTTGCTGCAGTTGGAGGAGTTGAGGATTGAGGGTTCAGGGCTGCGTATGGCCTCCTCATTGTCGACATGTTACCTGGCAAGCCATCCATCCGTCTGCAAAGCTTGAACCTGCTTGCTGCAGGTTTGATTTTCTGGCTTTCCCATCAGGTTCGTACTGTGGTTATGCAGGACAGAACATGCTCTGCATAAAGCGACGTTTGTCAAGGACAAAAATGATTGTTCCGTTTCATCAGCTGTATAGCCAGCCAGATTGGTCGGTGATCCGTTCAAAGCAATGGAGTACGTGCTCGCCGATGCAAATCTGCAGCAGTCTGATCTTGGAGGAGCTTGGTTTGTGATGTACCAAGTTAGACTGTTAGCCGGCAAAATCCCTCACCATTCCCATGGCTGCGTGTTCCCTCTTAGGAATTACAGTAGTTCAGTCACTATAAGCAGAGCGCAAACTTTCCTCCATTCAGAGTAGGAAAGGGGTGTCCATTAGTTGGCACACCTACCCTACTTGTCGGCAGTGTTCTTTTCCCAAAGCCGGGTCCTGCCTATAGACCCCCAAACGCTATATTATTGAACTGTTACAAGAATAATCAATTTCACAGGAGCTGTCAAATGGGACTCTTGGAAGCCCGTATAGATAGCATTCACGCCAGGACTTTGTCATCGCGTGGTGTGCTTTGCATGCCTGGTGGCATCTGCACTAGTGTTAGCCACGGTCTTGCAGTGGACCAAGAGCAAGGACCTGATGCACATCGTTCTGCATATATGTTTGGGTGTTTCTCGAAACGCACATTCCATTTTTCTAAACGGGGGATCAAATTCCCCCAAACCCCATACATCCCTGGGGTCTCTACGCGTACCGTATTCTGAAAAAAACATGTGGAGCAAATAGGAATATGCCAGACATGTGAAAGGAGTATAGGGGAATAGCCGTCCGAATTCTTCAGGCTTCTACATGAGCCATGGCCTACACTCCTGCAAGGGGGTTATATCGGGTATTACATAGGTGGGTATTATAGGGCTTATGAAGGGGGATGCGAGGACTTCAGACTATAGCTCACTACTTTCCAGGAGGGAGGCATACCCCACAAGTAGTAGTTTCCATTTTCTTTTCCATCATCCCTATAATCCATATAAAACCCCTATGAACCCATTATGGAGGGGTAATACCAGGAGGGAGGCATACCAGCTAAACTCTCCTTGGAATCAGCGGTGGCCGGCCTTAGCCTGATCATTTGCTCTTCATCATGCACCATCCTTACCTACTCCGAGCAAGTGAAGATGTGGGTGTGCTTGGGGACCTGCGGAAGCAGTTTGATGGTTCTATTTTCTCCAAGAGCAATGCAGGGCAGGCCAGCTACAAAAGCGGCAGGCGAAGTGCAAGATGTCCAAAGCAGCCAATCCCGGGAGTCTCCCGTTGATGGAACGTTTGAGATGAAAGCTCAGCATCCGAATCTTCTCACCAAGAGGATGTCCAAGGCACGATACTTTGATGATTCAGTGCTGCAAGTGATACACGAGAACGCCACCTTGGCCGTCAGCAAATCGGCGACCAAGGACTTGCCACGCGAAAAGATTGCCATGATCATAGCTGCGGTTTACTCGCTGGCCATCCAGCGCAAGAAATGGGGAAAGCGCCCCGATGAGACGTGGGGGAAATTTTTGATCAAGCTGGATACCATCTTGACATGCCATTCGAAGTCAAGTCAACCTGGCCTGTTGATGCCAACAGAGGCTTGGTACGAGATCAGCCGCTGGTGTGCTCGTCACTCACAGCAGGAGCTCCAGTCCATTGTTGAGACCGCGATCAAGTTGCACCGGGCACCCGGAGAGGGAGTTGTGTGGGAACTTGGAAGGACGGGTTATGGATGTGCTTTATGTGCCTTTATGTTGCTTGGCTGCTTCTGATGCCAGCATCCCTCTTGCACCCCCCTCTTTTGATATCATGTTGCGCACAATGTTCTTCTGCTGGCAGAGAGTACTCAGCATCACCTGCTTCCCACAGGATGCTGGATGCAACGTTGGACGTGGCTCACGTTGATGGTGATATGTCGGTGTGATCGCATTTTGCGCACATCGAGTCCGGTCCAGCTTTGAAGGGCTGGGTGACAAGGGTTTTCGCCTGTGCCACCCGACAGGTGCGCATATGCACCATTCAGGTGCAACTTCAAGAACCCTTCTGTAAAAAGGCGCATGGCGCGGATTTTTCAAATTAAAATCATACAAGCGGAGCTGTGATGGCAATTGCCCTTCTCTGCAACTTATCCTACTCTGAAAAAAGGAGATCTGAGTGCCTGAGTAGCTCCGCTGGCGGCAACACCTTTGCAGCCTGCATGGATAAGTGATTTGTACTTGCTACTAGACACCGCGGCTCATTCTGAAGGCAGCGGTTCTCGTGGCAGCACGGTTTGAAGTGCTAGCCACCCACTGACTGAATTGCATGCTGAAAATCTAACTAGCGAAACGTGAAGGTTTCGCTTTGAATTAGCTGTAAGCTATTTTAGAGACCTCTGGTTTGACGCCTGTCTTCTTGCTTCCGTCCATCGCCTTTTCTCCTCTGCTGCAGAGATAAGGGCGGTATGCATGCTGGCTAAAATGTCCTACTACTGTGGGAAAGGATCTCGCAGGAAGCGGCAGAAACACTGAGACCGACCAGATGTCCATCCACGCAGCATGAATGAGTAAAACGTGCTGCGCCCGCAGTCCGCAGTTTTGTTTTGCACGTCTGTTCACTTAACTGTCGCATTCGCTACGCTCTTGGCCCGTCGTGTTGCGTGGTCGTGCTTGCTGCTACTTCTTTAGCATCGATGCACGAAGCAGCTTGGGCGCGAAGTGTAAATTTGCCAGCACTTTTCTAACCCCCAAAGACAGTAGCTCATTCTATGGACCCCCAAAAGGGCCCATGATTTTTGACATATTCAATTTTGCCTTCTGCCATGCAAGACTGCCCAGCTTAGGGGAGCACGCCCCAGTTGTCTTGGAGCAGTTGGAGTTTAGGTGGACCCCCCACACTGTAATAGTGACTATAAGGGATTCTGGGAACTATATTGGGGCCCTCTATCATACCACTATTACAGGGTGGGGGGTCCATCTAAGATGGAGGCATCAAAGGTTTTTCGAGTTCGCCAGCCGTAGTGTTGCCCTTCGTTCGTGTGTCCTGCACGTCCTGTTTGTGCAAACCATGACAACCGGCCAACCCGTCGGCAGGTTTTCAGGGTGTTCCCCGTTCACCAGCAGTTACGCAAAGCATAGTGCAGCAAGACTCTATGGGCAGATAGCATCCTTGCATGAGCTGTGTGGTACCGAGTGGGTCGGCGGGCCTTTCAGAGCAATGGACTACTTGCTAGCCGACAAGCTGCAGCAATCAAATCCCGGAGGATCTTGCGTATGTGCTTGCAGTTTGAAGGGAATGTGACCTCTGCAGTTTGGACTTTCCTCTTGTTGGGTTTATATGGGGATAATGGAAAAGAATTGAAACTACTTTTTAGGGTTTAGGGTTATAGGAGCCTGTTGCAGCCAACCCTTGTGAGGACTTTACCATCGCGCGGTATGCTTCTGGGTTGATATTCAGGAACTTGAATTAAGTTATCATAATGGGTATATAAATATATATATATACAATAGTAACTTAGTTTAAGTTCCTTAACAGCAACCCAGGCTTTGCGTGCTTGCTGGCTTCGGCCATGGCGTTTGCCACGACACACCTGACCAGAAACGAGGAGCTCAGAAAGGGATCCGCAAACGAACCTACTAGGATCCCCTGCAGTTTTAAGCCCCTGTTCCAAAACCCCACAGTAGTAGTTTCCATTTTCTTTTCCATTATCCTTATAATCCATACAAAGCCCCTATGAACCCATTATGGAGGGGTAATACCAGGAGAGAGGGCTATCAGCTGCACCTTCCTTGGAATCCTTTGTGACTGGCCTTTGCTTCATCATCTGCTCAGCATCGTGTACAATCCTTACTGACTGCGGGCAAGCGAAGACGTGGTTGTGCTTGGGGGCCTGTGGCTGCTGCTTGATGTTCCTGCTTGCTCTAAGGGCAATGCAGGGTAGGCAAGCTACCAAAGCGGCAGGCAAAGTGCAAGATGTCCAAAGCAGCCAATCCAAGGAGGCTCTCCTTAGTGAGATGTCTGACATGCGAGCCCAGCATCCAAAACTTCTCACCAAGAGGGTGTCCAAGTTCAGGCACTTTGACGGTTCGGTGCTACAAGTGATACATGAGAACGCCACCTTGGCGGTCAAAGCAATTGAGTGCAAAGACTTGCCGCGTGATAAGATCGCAATGATCATTGCTGCGGTTTACTCGCTGACCACCCAGCGCAAGAAATGGGGGAAGCGGCCGGATGAGACGTGGGGGACATTTTTGACCAAGCTGGATACCATCTTGACACGCCATTCGAAGTCAAGTCAACCGAGCGTTTTGATGCCACCAGAGGCTTGGTACGAGATCAGCTGCTGGTGTTCTCGCCACTCACCGCAGAAGCTCCAGTCCATTGTTGAGACTGCAATCAAGTTGCATAAGGCGCCTGGACAGGAGGTGGTGTGGGAGCTTGCGAGGACGGGCCCCTGCTTCCTTGCAGTCATTATGCTTTTTTTTTTCTGGTAATTCTAGTACCCCACATGAAGCGTGTGCCTCATTCATCGAGTTTTGGATGTCGTTGGTGTCATGCCCGGAGGATGCTGGATACGACGTTGGATGCGGCTCAGGCGGTGTGACCTCATTTTGTGGTCGCTGCATTTCCGGTCTTCTTTTTTGAAAGCGGCTGGAAGAGGCTCGTGAGGGCTTGATCCGCCACCAGACAGGTGAAACACCGCACCGGCGCTGATTCTATCCTAGCAGCAAATTTGTGAACTGAGGCATTCTCGACAACAGGCTTCATGGGAGGGAGGGGGGCCACCCGGAGATGGCCAGTGGCTGAATGGAAGCAACAACCCATCTCAGAACATCAGTAGCAGATGTCAAGGCTAATATCAATAGCCGTTCAATAGTAGCGGAGGAGGAGGTGCTGGTGCTGGTGCTGGTGGTGGTCGTGGCGGCGGTGGTAGTAGCAGTGGCAGTAGCAGTAGCTGTAGCAGTAGTAGCAGTAGTGGCAGTAGGAGGAGTAGGAGGAGTATAGGCCATCATCATCATCATCATCATCATCGATCATCGTCATCATCATGATCGTTGTGTCGTCGTCATCATCACCATGTCTTGAATTGGAACGTAGCGCGAGATTTCTAATGACTTGTTTTGACAAAGCGACAGCAAGCATACCAAAAGCAATACTGAGTCGCGTCAGTAGCAGTTGTGGGAAAGGCGGCAATTAGCAGCAAATCAGGCGCAAAGGCCTTGTACGTGGGCAAGTGGCACAGTGGTATGGCAAAGGGCTTGCAGAGGTAGTGTAAAACAATCGGGGGAGCAGCAATGGTGAAGCTGTGAGATCGAACTAGAGATCCACCAGGCGAAATGAGAAAATGCGCCAAAGCATCAGTCTGTCCGGTCAACCTTTGTGTTCAGCCGCAGTACCCTTTTCTGTGTTGCTCATAAGGAACTTAAATTAAGTTACTATATTGGGGAAACCCTATGATTTACTATATATACCCATCATGGTAACCCTAAACCCTAAACCCATTATGGTAACTTAATTTAAGTTCCTTAACAGCAACCCAGTTCTGTCAGTACCATCTCCATCTCCAGGCCTTAGTAAATCGAGCGTAAACTGCCAGCATAAGCAGCCTCCGTCCCTGTGAATCCAATCCCCGCGACAGCATAAGAAAGCTGCCACTCCGCAACAGCCCAATGGGTACCCATATCCCCCAGAGTCCCTATATAATTCATTATTATAGTAGTTTCCATTTTCTTTTCCATTATCCCAATGTACTATAGTAGTTTCCACTTTCTTTTCCAGTATCCTAATATACTATAGTAGTTTCCATTTGATTTTCCATTATCCCTTCATAACCCCAATATACTATAGTAGCTTCCATTTTTTCTCATTATCCCCAACGAAGTCACTCCGCACCCCCCCTGGTGCCCATGAGCCATTCTAGGAACCGAAGAACGGAATGCCTGCGGCTCCTCCGCAATTTTCTCATAGTCAATTTTATTCGCTATTGGACACCACGGCTCCGCAGTAGAGGCATTGGTGCCTTGTGGCGGTAAAGTTTCAATCGCTGGCCACCCACTCGCATGCTGAATTCACCCCGGAGAAACGTGAGGGTTTCGCCGCGAATTAGGTGCAGCAGTTTTCATCGTGATCACATTCCGCCGCCTTTTCTTTCGCGGTAGAGTACGCATGCTGGCTGGCAGTTGTCCTACTAACCGTGGGCATGAATCTCACAGATGCCGGTAGATACTCTGACCAGCCAGAGGTGCATGTGTCAGACCCACGTATCCCTTCCTTCTATCATCAGTGCCCCCTTCTCTGAAGTTTTCTTGAACTTACCTTTGTTTATTTGGGCGTGATTTTGAGGGGGAAGGGATAGGTCATGCAAGTCATGGAAAAAGGCTTCTCTGTCAAGGCAAGCAGGACCCACAATAAATGGAGAGCTCTTAGGCTTTTCAGGTGAAGGATCCTAGTTAGGTATTGGTTTGCGAGAGACATTCGAAAAACTTACCTTTTGTTAGCTGCGAATGAACTAACGAAAAAGAAAATGGAAACTACAAGAACTGGTTAAAAAAGGACTACTAAAAGGATCCATTCCTTCATTCCTAGCTAGCCGAAGGTAAGTAGTCAGGTATGGGTTTTCAAGAGACATTCTTAAATACCACCATAGCAGATTGAGCTGGACCTGCAGCAAGGCGGCCAAACCGTGAGCCCTAAACGCCTGAACTCGAAACCAAGAATCAGTAGGTTGAGGGTTTAGGGTTTAAAGCAAGACTGGGTTCTTGATGAACAGCATCTTACATTTTGATGTATACCTGGGCCCAATATAGATTAAACATGATCGTTGTTGATCGTATCACGACAAGAACCCAGATTTTTTCTTTTCATTTTCTCTACGCTAATACTCCAAACCCTCAGCCTTGAACCAGTTCTGGATCATTTGAGCTGTAGTCGAAACTTGTATAGCGGATTGTATTGGGGAGTACTTTAGGGGTTATTAAGGGAGACTTGAAGTTTAGACTATAGCTCATGTCGATTCTACATCTTGTTCAAGTATGCGCAAACAATGAACACGCCAGTCAACTAGTTCGCAGGCCTCTTTTCATTGACCGTGGGCAATCATTTGCAGCAACATGTTGCTGCTATCAAAGTTCACGGGCTCCATGCCTACACCTGGAAATTGCTGGACATACTTGTTGATCATTATGGACCGTAATCCATACGTTTTCCCCATGACGTCATACAAATTCTTTCTTTTTTAGGGACCCTAAATCCTAAACCCTGAATTATAGTTTTCAGTTTCTTCACCATTATCCCTATTTATCCCGATACTGTTTTAGGACCCCTAAATTTATCCCAATGCAACTGAGACCGGAGAGCCGCTTGTGTTTTGCTAGGTATTTCTCCCAACCATGTGAAGTAAGATCCAAGCTAGGGTTATCAGGAGGCCATCAAATGTTTAGGGTTAAGGGTTTAGGGTTACACCACTGGTTTAGGGTTAAGGATTCAGTGTTACCAAAGGATCATTTATTAAGGGTTTAGAGTTAAGGGTTTAGGGTTACCAACGGACCATTACGGGTTAAGGCTAGGGTTCAGTCGGTTAAGTTAAGGGTCCAGGCTTGCCAACGGACCGTTAACCGTAGGCATAGAGGTCCGTTTGGTGGATCAGTAATGGGAACCCATGTGCATTAGTGAATGGCACATATTTACTGTAGCTCTTATTAGGTAGGGTCAAAGTTGTGACGCTGCATTGGTGAGTTTCTTGGCTTATGCGGGATGTAACTTTTGGGCGTGATTACAAGTATGGATCTTGTCATTTTTGCGTTGGGATCGAATCCTAAACCCTAAAGCTAAACCCTACGACCCTAACCTGCCCCCCATAAGACAGCAAAGCCCTCAACATAGGTAGCCACATGTGTTGGAGTTTCCAAACTTGTTGGGCCGCTATAACGGGGTTTCCGAATTCCATGCAAAATCTCAAAAAAACATCGTCCCAAAACCTCAAAACCCTAAACGCAGCTGCTTCTGTGACAGGTTGCCAAGTCGGAGCTCCCAAAGAAGATGGATGCATTGGAGCGGCTGTGAGCTCGCCAACATGTTACTGCTGGCTAATAGGTAAGTTTAGGGTTTCGGCTTAGTAGGGAATGAAGGAATTTTTCATATAACATATTTTATAGGGATTATCTGGGATTGTATTCTCTCATTCCCTGGTAACTGCAGCAAGAAATTCGATGCTAAAAATGGTAGTTTCACCAAACAAAGGGACCCCGATGTAGACCCTATAAACACTATCATCCTTATTGTAGGGAGCACTCAAACCTCAGGAATGATAGTAGCCGAGTATACTCTAGCCTGCGGCTTAGGGTTTAGGGTTTGGGCCTGTACTGGATCGACTACGTTTTTTGGATCCTTTTTTGCGGTCTTTGCGTGGGGAACATGACTTTCAGGACCTTAATTTTCAGAAGCTCCCTTCAACACCTCTACAATGGATCATGTTGTTCCTTTCGAGCCTACGTCAACCCTAAACCCGAAACCCTACTCCCTAAAACCTAAACCCTAATCAGAAAGACCTGAGCCCCAGGCCCGGGTAAAATGTTGGTACTGAGGCGTGTGTATTCCAAGATAAGCAGTGAGATGGTACGCCGGTCAAGCAGTTGCTGTAGCGTTGCTATCATTACTGTTGCTATTTATACGTGATTACGTGATTCTTGAGTTTTCAGAAGCAGGCTTCGCAATATATTCCTGCTGCATGCAGATGTTGTGATCATCATCTTCATGCAGATTATTGTGCATTGCCATAACTTCTGAAATTCTTTCTGCTTCCGCTCAGGATTTGGTTTTAGCCATTGGTTGATTCTATGTGCGGTCCACATGCTTTTCAATTACTACGCGTCTGTATCAGATTCTGATACCACAGCAAGAGCCACTACTGTTACTGTCGCTGAAGATCGACCCCTAAGTTTCTGCGATAATTGTAGTGATTTATTCGCTACTATTGCTTCTTCCTTCTGATCATGCAGCTGCAACCGCTCGTTTTGCTACTCAAGACATGCTGATGTAACACCCACTATACCACAGTAGCTTCCATTCTCTTTTCCATTATCCCAATAAAATCCCCAATATACTATAGTAGCTTCCATTCTCTTTTCCATTATCCCAATAAAGCCATTTTCTTTTCCATTATCCCCATGACACCCCCAATATACCACAGTAGCTTCCGTTCTCTTTTCCATTGTCCCAATAAAACTATTTTCTTTTCCATTATCCCCATGACACCCCCAATATACGATAGTAGCTTCCATTCTCTTTTCCATTATTCCAATAAAACCATTTTCTTTGTCCATTAAACCCCCAATGTACTACAGTAGCTTCCATTCTCTTTTCCATTTTCCCCATGACACCTTTTTGTGTTCCATTATCCCCATGAAACCCCCGATATACTACAGTAGCTTCCATTCTCTTTTCCATTATCCCCAATAAGTGCTCAAAACCCTAAACCCTAAACCCTATGCAGGAGCCGGAGAAGCTGGCAGAGCTTCTCATGCGCTTGCAGGCCATTGTAGCACTGGAAGAGCAGTCACAGAATTGTTGTTGCGGTGCTATGTGAGGGTTGTTCTAAAGGTCCTT